GTATGGGATGCACACTAAAATACAATGTTTCTTAAACTGATGTTTTTTTATGTTACTTAAGAAGAGAATGTTACTTCAGTCATGTTGTTGTACTTGTGTTTAAGTTGGCTAGTTACACATAAAAAAAAATCAAAATCGTGAATCGGTCACATTATGAAAAAAACCTAGATTTTTATTTTTTTGCCATATCGCCCAGCCCTGGCTGATGGGCAATTATTTTTGTGTTAGCAACTTTGTGAGAGGACATTTTAGGATGTCGAGCTATTATATTAGAAATTACTATAAGTATTATATTGGAATAGGTCACTAGACTTATTATTATAACCTAGAACCATTTGTATTGATTGATAGTGTTGCTGTGAAAAGCACATTATGATTAAAAGACTTGTATATCGTCAACAGGAAGGAGAGGAGCTTAGCAGATTGCCAGCAGCTCATAGGTATGTTTGTTTGTATTGTCATTACTTATAAAGCATTTTATAGTTTTTAAATAAAACAAGGATTCCGGGAATTAGATGGTTTTTATTTTTTACACTGAGTTGATTTTGTCTTTTGGGAAGTTTCCAAATAATTTTGATGTATTGTGAATGCCATATTATAGAATGTTTGATCCATATCGAGACTGTTAATATTGTGAATTTGACAACATATAATCCAAATGTTTTCTCTACATTATACAGCTGATTAATGGCCTAATGTAGCTCTTCATTCAAATGAATAGTGCCAAAACATGTTGGGTAACATACTTAATCATTAAATACAGTGCCTTGCGAAAGTATTCGGCCCCCTTGAACTTTGCGACCTTTTGCCACATTTCAGGCTTCAAACATAAAGATATAAAACTGTATTTTTTTTGTGAAGAATCAACAACAAGTGGGACACAATCATGAAGTGGAACGAAATTTATTGGATATTTCAAACTTTTTTAACAAATAAAAAACTGAAAAATTGGGCGTGCAAAATTATTCAGCCCCTTTACTTTCAGTGCAGCAAACTCTCTCCAGAAGTTCAGTGAGGATCTCTGAATGATCCAATGTTGACCTAAATGACTAATGATGATAAATAGAACCCACCTGTGTGTAATCAAGTCTCCGTATAAATGCACCTGCACTGTGATAGTCTCAGAGGTCCGTTTAAAGCGCAAAGAGCATCATGAAGAACAAGGAACACACCAGGAACACACCAGGCAGGTCCGAGATACTGTTGTGGAGAAGTTTAACGCCGGATTTGGATACAAAAAGATTTCCCAAGCTTTAAACACCCCAAGGAGCACTGTGCAAGCGATAATATTGAAATGGAAGGAGTATCAGACCACTGCAAATCTACCAAGACCTGGCCATCCCTCTAAACTTTCAGCTCATACAAGGAGAAGACTGATCAGAGATGCAGCCAAGAGGCCCATGATCACTCTGGATGAACTGCAGAGATCTACAGCGGAGGTGGGAGACTCTGTCCATAGGACAACAATCAGTCGTATACTGCACAAATCTGGCCTTTATGGAAGAGGTGCAAGAAGAAAGCCATTTCTTAAAGATATCCATAAAAAGTGTCATTTAAAGTTTGCCACAAGCCACCTGGGAGACACACCAAACATGTGGAAGAAGGTGCTCTGGTCAGATGAAACCAAAATCGAACTTTTTGGCAACAATGCAAAACGTTATGTTTGGCGTAAAAGCAACACAGCTCATCACCCTGAACACACCATCCCCACTGTCAAACATGGTGGTGGCAGCATCATGGTTTGGGCCTGCTTTTCTTCAGCAGGGACAGGGAAGATGGTTAAAATTGATGGGAAGAGGGATGGAGCCAAATACAGGACCATTCTGGAAGGAAACCTGATGGAGTCTGCAAAAGACCTGACTCTGCGCTTTAAACGGACCTCTGAGACTATCACAGTGCAGGTGCATTTATACGGAGACTTGATTACACACAGGTGGATTCTATTTATCATCATTAGTTATTTAGGTCAACATTGGATCATTCAGAGATCCTCACTGAACTTCTGGAGAGCGTTTGCTGCACTGAAAGTAAAGGGGCTGAATAATTTTGCACACCCAATTTTTCAGTTTTTTATTTGTTAAAAAAGTTTGAAATATCCAATAAATTTCGTTCCACTTCATGATTGTGTCCCACTTGTTGTTGATTCTTCACAAAAAAATACAGTTTTATATCTTTATGTTTGAAGCCTGAAATGTGGCAAAAGGTCGCAAAGTTCAAGGGGGCCGAATACTTTCGCAAGGCACTGTATGTCTGTATGACAATACTGCGTTGGAGCCTTCTCGTCAGCTGACAGGCCTGGATCACACAGGGTCATGCTAAACAAAGGATCATACTTTGTATAGGTAGCAACGAATGATTACACGAAGCCTTTATTGGTCTCAGTAATGATGTAGTAGTTCAGCTTAGTTGTCATATTCCCCACTTGCTATCAGGGCAGGTCTCCTGAGTTGGAGTAAAAGACATTTTATACACAAGTCACCATGGAAGAAATGACAGAGCAGTCTACAGTAGAAGATCAACATTTGACAGTACAGCCAAAACAAAAAATAGTTGAAATATGAGAACCAGATTAACTAGCAACAACCTAAATCAGTCTGTTTTTTAGTATCGGAGTCTGTTAACATTTCCTTCTTTCTGTTCACAATTGTTCACAGACAAGCCCACTGAGCAAACAGTCCAGCGACACCAGGTACAGAAAATCCTTCTCTGCACTTAGTGTCTCATTTGCACTGGAGATGGCTTTGCAGTTTACAGTTGAAGTTTGTCGTGTCCTGACAACATCCTTATTAAAATGCAATTTGTAAGTGGTTGAGGTGAAATCAATCACTTGAATCCACACAGAGCCCTAATGTTCTGTTTGTGTAAAAAAAAAGAAAGAAGAATAGGCTCTACTTGTCACCTTTTTATATTAAACCTCATGACATTGTATAAGGAGCTACCATACAGCCAGGAGCTGTGTTAGACTCGCACATTACATGAGCCCTCAGATCGTTTCTTCTTACATTTTCTGTTTATGAACAAAACATATTTATAAAAAAAACTCCAGGAAGAAAGTTTGTGATTTTCCTTTGTTTGTAGACACTTCTGCCATACTTCATCAGTAGTGCTACAGCAGATATTTCTTTTTGTTCTTTATTGAGTTTATTTAGTACATAGTTTTTTTATTATTCTTGATTTATGAAAAACATCTAAAATGTGTAAATGATTTGTGTGACATCTCCATGCAGTCTGTGCTGTATGATATGGAGCTGGTACAGAGCAGACTCACTGAGCTGGTGGAGCGACACTGCACTGGGCTGTGGATGTCAAAGTTATCAGATGTCTACAGTCAAATGTTCAGTGAGAAACTCCACCCTCAGGTACTCGTAGACCTGGAAAAGTGGACACACATTTGTATGGTGAGGCAACAACTTTTATTTGTAGAAACTCACACATCAGCATGCTTTTTAAGTTGGGTACAAATATGACCATCCTTTTTTTTTTTTTTTAATTACACGGGGTGTATGTTTTATTTAACATTTTCAAAAAGAGGTACTGTGAGGCATTTGGAGTTGAATCCAGCTTCTGACCACTGGGGACAAAATTATCAGTGTTTGTATATGCAAGTCAAAAACTAAATATTGTTTTACAAATACTGTTTAGAAATCAGAGGATGCAACCCCCCCAAACATCTGTCTGGAGAGCACCTTAAATAGCTTCATTTTAGTATTTTTGCATCCTATTATGTACCTTTTTATTATGGCCAGACAGCATGTTGCTGTATTGAGTTGCAGGACTAAAAGTTCTTAACTAGGAAGAACATTTTATACACAACTTTCCGCAGGTTAAGAGGAGCTGAGATCTTTTTTTTTTCTCTCTCTCTATCTCTTGCTCATCTGGCCTTCACAGGTGGAGCAACCCAGCAGCACCAGCCGAGCTGACCGACTGATCTACCCTCCTCTGCCTCCCAGGCCCTTTATTGTCCCTAGAAGTAGCACCAACAACTCCCCCACAACATCCAACAATTCAAGCACCATCACCACACCTATTTCTTCAGGCCCCTCAACACCTGATTGTCTCTGTAACCCTCTCCTCAAACCTAGGGCCTCCCCTACAAATCCCTTGGCTAAGCCCACTTTCATTTATCCTCCACAATCTGTTGATCCCTCAGGCAAACTGTCTTCAGTCACATTGCGCAGCCCTGCCCACAACCCAGCTCTGGCTCCTCAGCTGACCTCATGTGTTGATTTTGACATCAATGCCAATAGTGCATGTATAGTTAATCATAACTTGACTAACACTGCCACCAGTAACAAGAGCAGCAGTCAGCTCTCAGTCCCTATCTGGACTTACCCTAAACCAGCAAACGCTGGGCCTGACATTTTACCCCCTTTGAAGGTCACCTTTTCTTCTCCTGCTGATTTGGCCTGTCGTTCAACATCATCTGATGTTGGTTTGTCAGATGAGGTGCGTCAGAGAATAAAGGAGCTTTTGTCCAAGTACAGTCACGGACTGTGGGCCCATGCTCTGCCTAAACTGTTCATGGACACATACAAGGTGCCATTCCCTGAACATGCTCTGGACAATTTGTCTTTTCTGCTGGATATATGCACTGTGGAGTACCCCATGGCGAATGACAAGAAGAAGGTGCGTGTACCAGTGTCAACACAGTGTTATGTAAGACTTGACCAGTACTGTTAAGTCATTTCTCGTCCTACTAGGGGTGTAATGAGATCTCATGCCACGAAATCTCATGATATTGAAATGTGACAATATTTCTCGTTGAGGCAAAAATTGTCTCTCAATATCAATGCATAAAAGAACCAGAGCAGAAGCCGGTATGATTGAGTGTGACAACATATTCCCATTAATGCTAACATTAGTGCTCATGCTAACAACGTAAAGAAATGAGTATTTTTCCTTGGGTGTCCATGTCTCAGTTGTCCTCCATACATGATTGGTCAATGCAGCAGCTTTGCTGGATTATGTCACCATCCAGTGCAGTGAGGGTGAAAATAGTAAGAAGGTCACACAAAGCTTCATTTAAAAGTTAGAAGCTCCTGCGTAGTTCATGCACAGTTATAAGGTCTGAAGAGACTCGTGAAACCCTACAGGAGAGAAGCCAGTCAGCTGAGTTTGTGGTAAAACCTTGTACAGTGCCTGCATATTGTTTTTTTATTGCATATGATAATTCATACTCAAAGTAGAACTGAATTGACATTACAAGATGAATAGTTAAAACGATTTCAAAATGCACTGTTTTGCATTTTGTGACTTTCATTCGAATAAAAGACAGGTTTTCCAGTCATATGTTTTATCATAGAAGATTTCTTAAAAACAGTGTTAAAATGTCTTTGTTTGTGAGCTAAGTGTATCCTCACACCCCTACTTCCTGACATGACCAAACAGCTCCCTTGGCGCAGCAATTGCTCCTTGTCTGGAAGCAAGGGAAGAATTTGGAAACATGACTGATATGGAAGAAATGTAATGCTTCCAACAACAATTTTATTAATGTGTTTGTGGATTATGTGCTTTCCTATGGTCAGGCCATCCTGTATAACTCCAGAAGAACAGACATAGAAGCCACAGGCAGCCAAGAAAGCGGGCTGTGCAGAAGCCATCCCCTCCCCTCTGGTCTTGAGGTCCTGGGCCTGGTGGTTCCTCCCCGTCTAGTTCCTCCCTCAGAGCAGTACCCTTCTGTATTGGTTACTGATGCCAAAAGCAGCAATGCTGTTACTGTTAGGTAGGACACACATTATTCATGCAGACATTAGTGGCATAAATTGTTGTTGAAGCTAGGTGCATACAGTGGAAGAGTGGTTCACAAGCAAATGAAAAGAGCCCATCAAGAATGTTTCTTTTATTATAGCATTTTTACTGTTAGAAGTGATGTGACTTTTACATCATGTATTAAACCAATGAGCTTATTTAAGTGTAAGATTCATTTAAATTATGTTGCAGTTGGTTGTGCACTGTTGATTATGACATAAAAGGGGGATACTTTTTTCTACAATGCAGAGATAGTATTAAAAGCATCTGTGCTCAAGCCACTGTGATCTGCTAGCAAATGAGCAAATTTGTCTATGTCAGACAAAAGTGCATCAGAATGCAGGAGAGGCTCTGCCCCTCGTGCCAAATGTATATTTTAAAAATAATTGACATTCCAACTAATATTGTATGACAACAGTGTTTCCTCCTGGCATTTTTAATCTCATCTATAGTTCCACACAGTTACCAACACTTTTAAATATTACCAGGAAGTGCAGGGTAATTTTAGTACCAGCTTAATTTTGTCTTGGCACCATAAAAATTGAAAGTGATGACAAGAGTTCTTGTCCTCTGTATGATATCATGTTTACATTGTTCTTATGTATGTACAGTATGCTATGCATAGTTTGAAAAGGCCAAATAATGCTGTTCTTCATTTCAGGTATGTAGGTGAGAACTACTCGAATGCCCAAGAGGCCATGGAGGAGCTGATGTGCTCCTTCTACAGCCAACACTCCTCTCCTTTGTCTAACCCTGTTGTCGGGCAGCTGGTAGCAGTCAGAGGGGAGGATGGAGACGAGCTGGCCAGAGGCCAGATCTTGAAGGTCGTGGCCCCTAATAGGTTCCAGGTAATGTGTTCAGTTAGTTGTCAAGTTGTTTTAGTATTTTTTTTTTAAACCTTAATTACCCTTGTTGTAATTCAGAATTTTAAAACAAAAAAGCTCAGGGTTGTGAATAGGCCCTTTATGGTCTGATGTAAAAATGTAGACTTCAGAAGAATCAACTCCTGCCCTGGGCACAGCTTACGACAATTTTCTAGTTAGGTATCCTGCATTGACAGCATCAGAGGTTTAGCAGCAAATGAGCTCTTTGTCTTCCTTCAAGGTATACTATGTAGATTATGGCTTCTCTGTGGAGACGAGTGGGACTCATCTGCTGGAGCTGCACCAGAACTTCCTCTCTCTGTCCTTTCAGGCTACACACGTTAGGCTTGCAGGTAAATAGAAGAGATTTGGAATGACGTTGGGATTTGTTTTTCCATAACTGATGTGGGCGAAAGCACAAAGATATCCTGCTCCACATCTTTTTGCCATCATTCTTTCTCTTTCCCCTGTTAGGTTTAGAGGCATTCAGCTCCCATCCACTGGTTGTGTCCTCCCTGGACCATTTGGCAGTTGAAAAGATCCTGCTGATGGAGACATTAGAGCCATGTCAACAGAATGAGATGCCTTTGGCAGTGCTGCATGACACTTCGCAGGATGTTGACATCAACATCAACTCTGCCTGCCTCAAGGCTCTCCAGGAGGACACAATGAACAACCCTCTGACTGTAAGTTTAGTGTAACCTGTTTTTTTCCGACCAAGCCCCGCCGTGGCCCCTTATGTTCTTTTCCTGTCGCCATGTTATTCAAGCTCCCGTAACCTGTTGTGGCAAAACTTATCTTATTAAGGCTCTGTAAGTGTAGAATGAAGTAGATACAAAATCTGAAAGTTGTTGCGCATTTATTCCCTGCAGAGAAGGAGCAATCTCTGTACAGAGTGCTAACAGTAACAGTCTGAAGGAGAGAGGCTCCTCAGAGAGCTGCATGTCTTGTTATACTCAGGATACAAGCTATCTGATTAAATCAGTCACACAAAGGCATGTCACATGCTGGCACAGATTCAATCAGTCACACAAATAACTGCATAAAATAGCTACATAGCAACAGCCAATACACTAAAAAGGTTGTTTGATATAAATTTCCCATTACAAACCTTAGTGGTAATGTACGCATGTGTAGTAACCAGGTCCAGGTGGTGCACTGATGGTGGTGCATCAGTGTGCAAATTCACCAGAAGATGGTTTCAAGCTGACAGGACAAGAAATGTGTATCACAGCCATCCAAGGTCATTTTTGTGCTTAAATAGCAGTGAAGTGGGAGTTTGGTATATTTTTTACCAGTGAGTGGTGCTGTTGTACAGTTTCCATTAGTCTGCCTTGTCCTACAGTAGACAGCTTTGTGCTGTGGAAACCCTGCAGGTTTTCATTCACTTGGAATTAACCCAACAACTTGTCAGCCCTCAGCGGCACACTAATTATGTTATCAATAATCCTGGCATTATTTAACAATACTCTTTCCGTTGCATGTAGGTAAATGCTACCTATCAGGATGTATCTGTCACAAATGTGTGTGCAGATGGCATCATCTACTGTCAGCTACCTTCCAGAGGGACAGCAAGGCTCAGCAAGTTACTCGAAAAAGTAGAGGCCTTCTTCATCTCCCAGGTAGACAAGACATCGGAGTACGCATATACTTCTATTTGCTGTAGCACTTGTACTGCTGTAAACTGTTTTACAGTTATGACAAAGCAGCTGCAGTCCAGTCTTCACTTGTTTCTTTGTTGGGCTTCGTAATGCAGAGAGACTGTTTCATGTCATGATGACACACAAATTTGAATGTACCAATTAACTACAGTAGGTTCTCTTCTATAGAATGCTTTATTTATGGTTATAACTGTTTCAGGATCAATCTATTGCTGCCATCCAGCTCAATCAACTGTCACAGTCACTTGCGATATAAAACACCCTCTGTTTTCATTCCTTTGAAGGTTGTTGTAGCTGATAACAGTAATACTGTGATATTTTTTTAGGCAGTCACCATACCGCTGATAACAGTAATACTGTGATATTTTCTTAGGCGGTCGCCATACAGAGCAAATCTCATACCGTTGCAACCCTAATTGTGTTACTGTAATTCTTCTGCCAGACAACATCGGAGTTCCTGGTGTCCAGACCCTTTTGTGGCAAGTTTTGTCTAGCCCGCTACCAAGGGAAGTGGTCCAGAGTGGAGGTACTGAATCATAAAAATGTAGCTTCTTGGAAAGCTTAAAATTATTAAACTTACAACTCTTTTAGACATTGAAAGTATTGACGTGTTTGACAGTTCTTTGGTGCCAGCTCACATATTGTTCTTCGTGTTTTCAGATCACCAACATGTATGGCAGCAGAGTGACAGAGGTTCTCTTCATTGACTTGGGTGTCCCAGCAACTGTAGAGGTCACAGATCTCCGAGAAGTTCCACCTGTTCTCCTCAAAGACTTCACCATTATCCCACCACAGGTCAGTTGTTTGTGTGTGTAAGTTTGTTTACATGTGGTTAAGGGCACAATCACCATTTTTTGATCCTTTTTGAAAACGGGTGTCCTATTTGATTTCTAGAAGAAGTCATCACTGTGCCCGTAGAGCTTTTTATTCCATCGGAAACATTTTGTGATATCCAGCAGTATTAAAGTTGTACTGTGTGTAAGTTATTTTCAGTTTTATACACTGCATAAATTCAGGGAAGTTGAGGAATTTTGTCTATAACACACATTGTATCAGTGGTAATCATTGTTTTATAGAACATGTCGTCTTATTGGCTGTTTCTGAAGATCCTACTATTGTGAATATGTTGAGTGAATGTAGAGCTCTACATTGACTTTATGTGCACTGGTCCTCTGAATTGAAAAAGTTTAGGGGCACAGATGGAATTTTTTTAAACAACTGGCACTTTTCTACCATAGCATTCACAGCTCTTTACCTGCTAACCCATTAACACATTCCGATGGTGGGCAGAACAGCCACACCTGTCAGTGGCCTCAAAATCTGGATGAAATGCTCTGTGTCCTAACAGATTAAGAACCGGCATCTTGAGGACAGTTGCACTGGGTTTTCTGATCAAATAGTTGTTTGTGGCACATGCATTACATGTATCTCACCAGGCTATCAAGTGTCGTCTGGCTGATGTTACCATTCCAAAGGGAGACTGGAGCCCAGAGGCTGTTATGTTGAAGGAGGTTCTCCTGGGATCTGAAGATTGTAAAATGAAGGTAACACCATCTGTTGAAATTACACCCAAGATGTATTTGTTCTGTATTTCTAACAATTGCTGCTGTAAGACAAGCATACAAAAAATACATAGGAAGCAAATAAGAGCTTGACTGCTTGAAGCACATGAACAGTGTATGGCAAGGGGTGTCAAACTCAATCGCACAGGGGGCCAAAATTCAAAGCACACTTTAGATCGCAGGCCCAAATCAGCAACTGTATTTCTGCTAAGGCTTACATTTGCAAACACCTGCTTTTTGTCTGGACACAAGACGTTGCACACTTTCATCATGCAGCTCTTCAGAAACTCTCCCTCAGTAAATGGCCAGGCTGATTTGGCTATCTCCTCTGCCGCAATAAAATTTGCGCTCACAGCAGCTTCGCTTTGGTGAAAACGTGCTGTGATGTCAGATTCCTCTTCAACTCCTCTATCTTCTGTAGCTTCTGCTCTGCATTCACGTTTTTCAGCTCGTCCTGATGTTTTGTCTCGTAGTGCCGTCTTAGGTTATATTCCTTAATTACAGCCACATTAGCTCCACAAATAAGACACACGGGTTTACTGACAATGTCAGTAAACATATACTCAGCCTCCCACCGAAAGGCTCTGTTTTCAGAATCAACTCTTCTCTTGGCCATTGTTAGGAGCTAGCTTTGACTCGAAATTAGGGTTGTATACATCAACAGACGCTTGATTGATCTGACGTAATTGACGCAAGAATGATTGCAGGTAGTCTATCGTTCGGTAAGGCAGCTGTTACGCTGCATTATGGGATTTGTAGTTGTGTGTTATCGGTGCTTATATCGCCGGGCCATTAAAAACAGATATATAAAATGATCTCGCGGGCCGGATGCAATTGTACACAGGGCCGGATGTGGCCCACGGGCCTTGAGTTTGACACATGTAGTGTATGGTTTGGCAAGTGTAGTGCTGATCTAAATATAGATACTGCAAATGAAGATAAGGCTGTTAGAGGACAGCCTGATGTACTGAAGTGTTTGCACACTGTAGCTTTAATGACTCATGTTATTTGAGGCAAAGTAACAGCAATCTCCTGGGCTCTCTGTCTTTGTATACTGTATATTTATTCTTGTTTTTTTGTTTGTTTGTTTGTTTTTTTCTTCTCCTTCCCCAATTTTAGATCTTGAAATTAGATCAGCACAAAGGTGACCAAGTGGTCTATATGTACCTGTTCATTGGTACTGACAGCCAGGAACTGGACAAGAGCATCAACCATCAGATGGCTCAGTCAGAGTGGTGGCAGAAACTCGAAGCACAGAGCAACAAAACCACCAGCTATAAACGCAGCATGGATTCAGGTAATACTAAACGAGACCAGACGCTTGACACATCAGTTGCTGTTAGTAGTTTTCATGAACAATTCTGGTCAAACTGTTTTAGGATAGGCATGTTTTGTTGTTTTGAATTTGCTTTTAAGCATACTGATTTAAAAAATGTACAGTCTCTGAGTGTTTTGCTTGTACCTGCTTTCCAAATTTCTAGGTCTCAGTGCTCTAGTGGAGAAGTTGACTCTAAACAGCTTGGACCCAAGCCCCGTTGTCAAGGCCTCAGTCCAGCCTCATCACAGAGCAGGGGACATGTCCACTGGAGATGTGACCACTAACACTGGGATTCAGCCACTTTCAATGCCTCCTCCACTGGAGCTCCCCCAGGTCTGTGGAGAGGGACAAACCCTATGTAGGGGCTTACTTGTCATGTAAGAGGTAGACATAAATTATATAACTGCAGGTTATGTCACTGTGGCTGGAGGAAAAGTGATGTCAAACAAGGGCCTTAGAAAACATCAGGGCAAGAGAAGGTCTGGGACCCCACATTGAACAGTACTTCCTTAGTGGTCATTTGAGTCAGTCAGGTGAAAGCCAGCAACAGGTGAGTAACCAAAGAGTGCAGGATATCAGCATCCCTGCCAGTGAGGAGGAAGCAGAAAGTAGCATCAAACAGCAGAGTCAGAGTGGTGAGAGTAGCCAAAGAAAGAGAAGGGCATAAAGCAAGAACCTTGTTGCTTGTGGTGTTCTTAGAACTAGCTAATGCCTTTGGTTCTGTACCACATAACCTACTGTGGGAAGCACTAGCTTATTTTAAAGTACCAGAGTTAGTTAAAAGCCTAGTGAGAGAATATTTTCAGGCTATCCAGATATGTTTCACAACAGTAGAGTATTCTACATCTTGGCAGCAACTGGAGATGGGCAGGATGCTCAATCTCACCACTGGTGTTTACCATGGCAATAGAGGTTGTTATTATTAGGGCATGTAGGTGGGTTGCAGGAGGAGCGAGGCTTCCCTCAGGGCAACAGTTACCACCCATAGCATATATGGATGACAGGACAAGCTGAATGCTAACTTAAAGTGGGCTAGAATGAAGGTGAAGCCAGAGAAATCAAGGAGTATAAATGATGAGCCGATTCCAGCAGTGTTAGAGAAGCCAGTCAGAATTTTAGGTTGGTGATATGATGCAGCTCTTGGTGATAAAGAGCAGATTCAGGGCTTGGCTTTTTCTCTGCTTTTTGTGTTGCTCCAATGTAAATAAAAGAAATAAACACGAGAACACCGAAGAATTTGTGATTGCAACAATTTTCTGGAAGAAGTGCTGTTACCTAACAAAGGCAGGGGTGCCAATATTTTTGGCCTTGACTGTAACTCACCATTGTTTTTACATTGATTTTGATGTCACCTTTTCACATTAAGTTTAGGTGCTCTGCAGAGATACCTAGTTGCTGTGCCTAAGCCTTTCTGTGGTAGGGGGAAAACCCCGATAAAGCCTTGTGATTGTATTCACCCGATTCTTCTCGATTTTCCAGCCTGGTCAGAACATGGATGTGTTTGTGCCAGTGGCCTGCCACCCCGGTTACTTTGTGCTGCAGCCATGGCAGGACCTGCATAAGCTGGTGGTGTTGATGGGGGAGATGATTCTCTATTATAATCAAATGTGTAGGACCAACACAACCATACACATCCAGAAAGGAGAGCTCTACGCTGCCAAAATAGACAAGAAGTGAGTGATTTAATTTGTTTGCACTTGTTTCAAACCTGAATTGGTGTGAGCACACAGGGTTTTCCACAAGTGCACCTTAAATGATGATGTCACTAGATCTTGGAACTTTTTTGCTATACAAATTTATGAATGTGGTAAAATTTCTTGTAACTGTGTTAACTGTTGTGCTTTTGATACAGCATTCAAGTGAATAGCACTGCTGTGTTACTTAAGGATACACACTTGATGCATTTGATGTGTACCTTCACATTACTGGCTGTATAAATCTTTGGTATTATGGAAGACCAGCAGCCTGTTCTTTGTTCTCGTAAGGAAATGATGACCATGTAAAAACAAGAGGCTGCTGTTGTCTGATGGTTTATGGCTCACCTGATGCCTGCCTCTCTACTTAGTTGGCACCGTGTCCAGGTGAAGACAGTTCTGGCCAACGGGTTGATTTCTGTCTACGAGTTGGACCACGGCAAGCATGAGCTGGTCCCCAGGACTCTCATCAGGCCCCTGATAGAGGAATTCAGGCAGCTGCCCTTCCAGGCCATCACTGCACAGCTGGCAGGCAAGTTGCTCTCATTCAGTGTCAGTGGTGGGAATGCAGCAAGAGGTTTTTTTGTTTTATATATGACAGGTGCTGTATTGACTTGGCTGTTTGTTTCAGAATGAAGTAATTACTTTTCAGTCCTCAGATTAAAATTTAGGTTTCTCCAGAAGCATTTTCCACCCCGTTCCCTGCTTAGTGCATAATTTCTTGATTCTGGTAATTTCTCGATATTACACTTAATGCAAGCAATCGTGGATCGTTCTGTGTTGTCTTAGCAATGTACTAGCTTTCATCATTAAGTCATTGTCTAGGGCTGAATTGTTTTCCTTATCAGTTAACCTGCTAGTTCTCATTTATCCAGTCTGACACAATGTAATCAGTGTGGTTCCTGATGCCACCTCCTGTTTGTGTTGTAGGTGTGACACGTCATCAGTGGTCAGAGGAGGCCTCCATGTTGTTCAGAAACCATGTGGAGAAACGAGCGCTGGTCGCCCAGGTGGAGAGCGTGCAGGAGGTGAAGGCCGAGCTGTGGGAGCACAGGCTGACAGTTTACCTGGTGGACACCTCACCGGAGGATAAGGACCTTTGGGTTCACAGCATCATGGCCGACATCGGCAGTGAGCTGTCTTCATCTGCGTAGGATGTCTCCTCATGCATGGTGGGAAGTGAAACCTTCACCATTCTGGATTTTCCTCCCAGTCAAAGACTTTGAAAAGCACTTTAAATGTCGGGGGCATAGTCAAGGGTCTTGTAAATGTAGGACTGACAATATTGTTTTGAGTCAACAGTTCTGATTGTACTATTGTAGGACTAACTGCATTTGAAAACTCAGCATTTATGTGGGAAAAAAATGGTACACATCAAATGTGTCCTTTAAATAATCATTTGGAAACAAACTCGGATGACTTTAATTTGTTCAAGGCGCCTGGTGTTGCATGTTTGGTTTGTGTCAGTAATGAAATATTGCCTTCTAATTGGTTTCTGCTTGCTGTGACTTGTGCATGCTATAGTGTGGCTTGTTTTCCACTTAATGCATGTTTTTGTATTAATACTTCACAAATGGGACAACATTAAACATCCTGTGTTGGACATTTTAAGTTAGATTTCTAGTGTTCTTTCAACATGAAAAGGTGTTCACAAGGATGAAATGAAGAAAAAAATGCTTTTAAGTGCAGAAAATATTGATATCTCTTCACATTTAATACTTAGCAGATACTTAGCGGTCAGCAGCTGCAGACGGGTAACATGGAGTAAAAAGAGAGTATGCAGTCTGTGATGCAACCTTAGTCCCCAGCTGGCATCGGACTGGGTGTTGCAGCTATGTGCTGTAGCCACTGGGCTACCAGGCCAATGCTGTAGATTTCATGTTAGCTTTATAACCTTGTCAAACTGGCCATCAGTCTGGATTCAGTAACCCACAATGACAAAGTGACATTTTGCAAACGTAATGAAAGTCTGAAGTGTCATGTACAGAAGTATTCAGCCTTTTCTGTGACACAACACATGCAGCCTGTTTCCTTAATTGGAGTTCACCTGTTGCATCTTGAATCCACTAGAAACACGGAGCACACCTGTGTACTGTATCTTTACTAACGTCCTTTTGTACTTGAAGTAGGAGTTGGAACGCAGGTCGTCCACTTGGGGTGGAGCCTCATTGCTTTGTTGGGTAGGTTACTTCAAAAGTAAGTGAATCGAGCACTTCCAGCACTGCATTTGGCACCCAGACTGTCGCGACCACGACTAAGCTTAAACGGATCAATTTGACAACTGCACGTATGAAGGCTTCTCTGCATGACGCTTGTCATATCGCGAACGAATGTGTCCGATAATGGACACAGCTGCGCTAAGAACTACATGACATCACTGGAGTGACAGGGCAGCCGTGTGCCGTGGGAGGTGGGGGAGGATCTCTGTCCGTAAGTTTACTCTGCCCTTTGCGGGAGATGAGATTGAGCTTCACAAACCTGTCGGGAGCCGACCAGGAAACGGGAGGTAACTTCGCTAGCTTCACTGAAACCTGCTGAATTCGGGATTGTCCACGGGTCATGGCCTCTTCTGTCTAGTGGGCTTTTTGGCGGATTCCCGGGTTGCGCGCTCGCGGCAGAGCGGACCTCGCGGTGCGACTCCAGGCGGCTCTGAAGGAAACCATATCTGGTCAAAGTATTCGTTGCTGTCACCCGGCTGGACGTCCGACTATAAATAGCGCTGGAGGAGGTACGGAAATAAATGTAAAAATTATACTGCAGCCTGTAAAACAATCAAATTACTTAAGATCGGAGTGTCTCGGTTCAAAATAACTTGCAGAACAACGGTTTTAATTTTACTTTTAGAAAACACGTTTTCGATGTGCCAGAGAATAAACTTTTTTTTTATTAGAAACGTTTTAAAAATGGATTTCACTTAGTGCTGCGTGATTGATTATTGGCTGTTGCACAGTAGGCTTCCTTCTTAAAGTAACGACCCTGCACGTCCTAACAAAGTTGTGCACGCAGTCATTCTTACTATATCACTCTGGGGTCATTGATGCAAGGAACTGGTGAAATGTACTGGGACTGAACTGATTCCAGTAATGGTAGTTATGAAGCAGATGAATGTTATAATGTTCAGATTTCACTCTCACCTTTTGGCTTCTAACAAACACCAGTTAGTGTTTCAGTCTAACCAACAAAAAGTGTTTATTTTATTGCATACAGCTAAGGCATGTTTGGCCTTAAACGTGTCACCTTGGTACTTTATAACAAAACCCAGTATTTGTTCAATGTAATACTTAAGTACCACCCCTTATAATCAGGATTTCAGTCAACAAGTGCTTAGAGATGCAACAGTTGTTGATGACATGCTGCTTGTGACCTACATACGGTACATCACAGACTAATGGAGCCTCGTAACCTTTGTAAATCAGAAAGTCACCTTTGTATTTAGCACAGCCCTGTATGTTCATATCACTGTGGTGAACCTGAGACCAGGCATCTTTGGTCTTCTCTCTTGCCATTTCTTCCTCTGTTATTAACACGTTGCAGTGTTTTGACCAGCTGAGACGTGCATCCCTTCACAAATCTGTTCTTCATCTCTGGGTTTAGAAATGTTTCAGCTAACAACACTCTGACTAGTGAAGCGGTGTGATGAAACATCTACATTGATGAAATTTTGACCTCCGCACAACACAGCACATACAGTACCCTGACCTCAGGCCCAAGGTAGCAATGGAGCTGCTAGGCCCCTGATACCGATCAGTATATAGGACTCCATGCTGGTCCCCCAAGTGGAGACCAGTGACAGAGGTCACAGATGTGTTTAGTGCCCTTATCAAAATACAGGACAGCTTCATTTCAGTTTTTAGGAAAAGGTTTGTAGAGTGAGAGAATGACTGATCCTTTTGTTGTCTCGACTTTACATACGTTATAGGATAATGCATTTGGTTACAACTTGATATGAAACAGATTGAACTGTGCACCAATTAGTTTCGGTAGCTCCCCAGGCCTTGGTTCAGTGCTAAAATTAAATCTACCAAGTAAGGGGACACCCTCATTACTGTCACAGCAGAAAACACATACTGCCCTTTATACTGTAGCTGTCTGCCATATGAATTATGAGTGTGGTAGATAGGAGAGTCCTTTGTCCAGCTCCTGCAATTAGCATTTAGTCAGAATGCTCAGGTTCACCAGATATTTTGGAGTTAAATACTGTATGTCCATTGGAGTCTCTTGTTGCTACTGTTTTTGAGGGATCTGGGTTTTGTAGCATTGTGTTTTTAGTTTACAGCATGTCTGTCTGTACAAGTGTGTGGAGAATAGTGTCAGACCACCTAGTTTGGTGCCTTAGGCAATAAATGTCAGACCTGGACTATTAAAGGACATTTTAAGTGAAACGTTCACACTTAATGTAATTTTTTTTCTAAGCTTAGTATTAGAAAGTCCACTACTATGCTCTCGCCATGTTTTATGTGCTGATTTACTGGCTGTTTGAGGTTTTACAAAGATTTATGTGTGTTTCATGGCAGGAGAGCTGACAGCTTCACCAGGGTTTATCTTTAAAAAAAAGCTGAAAGATTTATAAAGAAAATGCTGTTAAAGCAGGTCCTGGCACTTTATAACTGTGGTGTGCAGTAGTGGTTTAAAACTGATGACTGTTTTATTTAATTTTACTGTGAGAGAGTGTGTGAGAGATTAAGGGTCCTGCATCAGTGCTGCTCTTAGAAGCTTGAGGATGAGAGGTTTAGAAGGAAATGGTCAAGTGTGTGTGACTTTACAGGTTACAGTCAGGCTCAGGTCATCTCTGGTTACTTTAACTTTCTGCCCAAGTGACTGTCTTCCAATGAAGTAGAATTTTTAGAAACTTTATAAATCCAGGCACGGGTCTGTTTGGTATCAGCGCAGCAGGTCAGCGTCTTCCAGCAGACCTTTGGAGTTCAGCCCAGTTTTTCCACATTGGTTTTGGAAACTTGTCTTGTCATGGAGCTTAGAGAAAGCAGAGCAAAAGAATGGCACGCTTGACCTTAACCTTTTAGGAGTTTAGCCAAAACACACTTGGTGGCATAAGATCAAAAGACAAATGATATACCTTGAATGCCAAATGTCTTCCACTTTGGTTGGATGTTATGCTCCATCTCAACTTTTCTTTTTCTGCCTATTTGAGTTTATCATCATCCTCAGATGCAGGCTCAGTAAATTGGTTATCAGCGCCGTCACGGGAAAATCCATCAGCACCAAACCCTGACCCACATTTTTAAGGAACCAGGGCTTAAGTGACAGCATGTATGCTGAGTGTTTGGTGTCGTGACCTGCAGCTCATCCATCCTCAGTCATCTGGTCCCACAGCCAAGACTCTGTCCGACCATGTAGAGCATTAGAGAAGAAAACCAATCCCCAGTTGCTGCTAGCACAGAAAGAAAGCACAATAAGAATACATTTACAGACAAGATATCTGTGAGGTTCATGGAAAATAAAGGGAGAGTGTCCATGTACCTTTTCTGGTCTGGAGTTGAACTCATTTCAATTAATGTTTTTTCCTGTTTGTTGCCAGGCCAGTGTTATCTTTTGTTGACAACAGCTGATTTTTATAACATTGCCAGATTATCTGCTGTATGTACCTAATTGCTGCCTTCAGTGTAATCAGATCTTTCAAGCCTGGTTTTCCTTCTCAAACACGTTTTCATCAACTCAGATACCAATCAGACATTCAGAATGGTCTTGTGTAGGTTTTCCAGTGGTCTCTCTCCTGACTTCTTTAAAGTGAGCTTTAGAGAAGACAAACACCAGAAAAGCAACACAACTCTCTCTAATACTTTGAGAGTTGAGTCAGTGAATCATGATGTTATAGCATCTGAATCTGCGCTCTGGTTACATGGTCAAGCTTGTAACTGGTCTCGACCTGCAGAACATGATGCTTCGTTCCTCTCTCCAGATGACTTGGGGTATCTATTGCTTTCTATTTCTGAGAGCCACTAATCTCTGTCTCCTCCAGGTTTCTGCGTGTCCCAGGAGCACAGCAGGCACTTGGCTGCCTTTGCTGTTATCTTTCCCCTGAGCTGGGGGTGACTGAGGTGAGTACGGTCAAGTGGAAAAGAGTGATGCTCGGTTAGTGTGCGTCTGCCTTTTTGTCTTTTGCTATTTGGCTGTTAAAGCTAGTTTTGCACTTGCTTTAATCCTCTGTGGTTTTCCTCATTCATTTTATGTCTGTTTTCTTGATTGTTTTCATCCACAGATATTTATTTTCTCAATCTTCGACATTTTGTCTTTTTGTGCGGAGGGGTTCTTGAGGTGAGGGAACCATATGAATGTCTCTGAAATCTCTTTGTTTAAACTTGTCAGCGCTGAATCTCACATCCAGTTTTTGTGTAGAAAATACAAAACAAAAGATAATGATAGAAGTACAGATGTGGTTTAGTTGCTCTCCATATTATCTATAAGAAAGTTAAATATCCCCTCCTTGAGCCGCCACCTTATTGTGGTGGAGGGGTTTGAGTACCCGAGTGATCCTAGGAGCTGTGTTGTCGGGGGCTATATGTCCCTGATAGGGTCTCCCAAGGCAAACAGGTCCTGTGTGACGGGTCAGACTAAGAGCGGTTCAAAAGCCCTTTATGAATAGATTTAAATCAAGGACCGTGACGTCGCCCGGCATGG